GCTATACATGGAAATATATAAGTGGTATGGATGCAGAAACAAAATAAAGAATACACTTCAGTGCTGTACGTGAGAAAAAACCAAACATGCATAAAACATAACATAGCCATTTTTGAAGCTTCCTTGGGAACTACTGATGAGGGGCACCAAGGGAGCGGCACTACCGGTATTTTTTTAGCCCCGAAACCGGACAGTGTAAACAGATGCAATACTTGTGAAATCTTGTATCATGGCAGTTATTTTCTAACTTCTCATTTCTGTCTTTATACATTAAATAAAAATCCACTTCTCTCTAAGGTTCATTTTGTTCGATAGATATCCCCTCTAAATCACAGCTGCATACCTTCAATCAACACAACTATAAACCTAACTTTAGTATATAAAAATTCTGGAATGTGTTGGTGCTCATCCATTTTCCTACAAAAAAATTTCAGAGCTATCAGAAATCAAAAAATGTTCCAAAAATGAAAAGAACCATTTTTAATAACCACTTCAACGAAACCGTATTTCAAGTTTTCATGGAAAAGTGGGTTTGAGTTTTGAAAATGCTTCATTGAAAATACTGGAAAACTTCAAAGACAAGTACCAGTTTGGCACACACGTGACTACATCTTCAAAGCAAATATTGTATTCTGATGTCAAAACTTGTAACAAAAAGAAATATTTGATTTTCTATTCATTTATTTTGTAATTGTTTGTAAAATTTTGGAAGTTTTCGTTTGTATGGATTTGTGTTGACTGCAGGTTCCCACGGAATTTGAATTTTTTGCTGTCCAATATGATATGCAGTCACGCCGTTACTAAGGCTGATATTGCATCTCAGCGCGGCGAGGTGCGGGAAATCCTCTTGGCAAGAGTTTAGACGACGAACGCAATCACTGTACCATATGCAGTGGATTTGTTGGATTTGCCGGCAGAACTGGCGGCTGGCTACAGCAGTCGGCTGGGCTGCCCGGGTACCACTTGCACGCCTCCCCTGGAAAAGCCAAAATTTTCATTCCTAATGCTCACTGGAAAATCCCTAACTTTCAGTAAAGCAATGAAAGGCTAGTATAAAAACTTCCAGCAGTAATCTAGTTATTTTGGTAGCGGATAATGAATTTCAATTCGCTGCTATCATGCTACAACTGTTGATGATTCTGTTAGTCAGACAGATTTTATAGTTCAAAAAGTGTGTTTTTCGCGTTGTCTGGTTATAAGATCAAGATTCTCCCCATTTTTTCTTGTGCTAGTCCAGGGCTCGGCACAGCTGGCACCGGGTCAAGCTGAATGTCGTTTTTAAGGCGGAAAGCCAAGGATCGTTTTTTCGGGGTCCGGGGCGGAGAAGAACCGCAAGAATGCCGCCGGCATGCCAGCGGCATGCTGCCCATCAAACGAACAAAGGCGTTGTTTTCAGCCAAAACGCAATAGTATGACACCAAATTTGGTGTGTGCATGCGCGTTGGGGGACCCGAACTATGGCCCAAAAATTATCAAAACTTATGTGAATGGAAGCTGTGCTGAACTTTTTTCTGAATTAGCTGACACCGTGCCAGCTGGGTGCCAGCTGAGCTGGCACCGACACTTTGCTCACATAAGTTTTCATACTTTTTTACATAAAATGTATCTACACCGTAAAAGTTTACATACAAAGAAAGAACAGTTTCATAATGTTTCCTTTGCAGCGTTTTATAACCATCTGAAAATTGCTCGGTCTGCTCCGCAGTCGAAAAATCGGCTTTTCCTGCTTCTCAAGATGTGATTCAACCATTTAAAAAGCTCAGAAAGCTGTGAAAAATTGTTCCATGAAATCAGCATGCATGAAAACCCTACTACATACTTTTACACAATCTAAAAATAATGGCGAGTCTTCAAAACAGATCAAAGGGGACTTCGTACAAAGTTTTCAAGATCAAACGGGCTTTGTTTCGAAATTTTCCTGGTTCCAGTTCGTGCCAAGCCCTGTGCTAGTCACTCCAAAACCTGTAGGTTGCATGCGCTAGCCCTGAAAAGAGCAAGAGTGAGCTGTTCTAGCAGTTAGGAATAGGTGTGTTGATAGGTACCTGCTACTAAAGCAAGTAAGGAGCGTGGCTTAGCGCATAACACTGATTGACAGTTTCAAAGCCTACGAAAATTTGAAGTAGCTTAAAAGCGTAACCCGTGAACAAAATCGTTGAGCACCACCTTTATTTCTGCTAGTTGTCAACCTTCCACTTTTTTACCACAAAAATTGCAACACCAGAAGAACACTTCATAAATACATTTATATGAGTTTCCGCACCGGAAGAAATGATCTTGGTTGATGAATTGCAAAGAACAGTTCATAAAGTATTGTCTAGAGTTTGCATCGTGATATGAATGAAAGGAAGTTTGCGATAATCAATAAGCATTTGTTTTTATTGTTCACTAGCTGGCATTCTCGGTCCAGCCCGAACCATCCGAACCATTGTTTACACAGGGAGAGATAGCTGTAGTTTTGGTGCGAGCATAGTACTGAAGCAAGACCCCTCCCATTCTAGGTTTAGGTGCCTTACCTTGTGATATCTTTACTTCAGTTCACCGCATTCTCTTTTTTTTCAGGAGGGGCGCTTGTAAAATATGGGTAACATATGGTTGGCAATGAAAACTGTTGCGACGCAGAGTTACAGAAACCCTCGCGGAAAGCAGGAGCCTATCTGTGGGGTAGATAGACTCGTCATATTTTAACCATCCTGAATTGTTAATGCATTTTGTAGTGCGTTAGTTTGTCATGCACCTTGCCGTTCATTTCAATCACGAATTGTCAAGATCGTTACCTATTGTCATGGTTGTTATCCACGTATGTAAAAACATTACGCTTCTTACGGAGACAGCTCTGTTATATAGTGTTAATCATAAAGTGTGTTTCGGACTAACCGTGGTTTTTTCTTCGAAGAAATCCGAGCCAAGTTTGATTTAAGCACTCTCGTCGATTCATTTAATGACCATTTAATGACCCTGTAGGCAGATGCTCGAAGTGCAACATCTTTGAGTGGTCTGGGATGTACTACGCTTATATACGTGATTCGCTATGGGTCAGAGATTAGAGCCGGTTCTTGCCGTTTGCTTTATGAGTAAGACTGAGGAAGCGATACTAGTCCGCATGCCGCTAATGTACTGCAGTTACTGGTGGCTACTGCATTCTTACATCAACACAGTCCGAAATAGGCCAGTGTCTCAAAATTTCTAACTAGCAGCGGTATCGATGTAGGATTGCAGTAGAATCTTCCTACATAAACCGCCATTGTGTATTGGCTGCAGGTTTGAGCAAATTCGCAAGAACTCGATTGTTGTATTGCAGGGTTTCCATGCGCGTTAATTTCACCTCTTTTTTTAAAGCTTCTGAAAATTGGATATTGTAGTTATATTATTGAGAAACACTGAGAAGATAATTGCTAGTGCATACCTGGCATTACTCAAAAACAAAGCATCAGGAATTCAAAATCCATATTTACGTTCTGTCTGATTAGCGTAAGGCCTAAGGCATACCTCACGTGATTTGGCCGAATCGCCACTTTCACGCGACTTGGCGATTTGCCAGATTTCTACGAATCTATCGTGCGCGCTTCTCGAACGCATATTTGGGTAGCTTGTATAAGCTGTTGCAAACGCATCAAGTTTTGACCAGAGACAGCGCATCAGCAACGAATAACGAAGAGTCGCTGTTGTGCCAAATCGCGTAGCCACCGGAATCGCACGAGGTATGCCTTAGGCCTAAGAGTTCAGATTGTTGTCCTCTATCTAAGGCAAAATATGGCCCTCAATTACCGAAACTTTTCTCAAAGCTCTTACAATGATTCTACAATAATAAGACTATGAATCATTGAGACAAATCAGAAGTTGAACACTCCATACGCACATTTGGGATACACTTGTACAAATTTATTTTGAACACACAGAAGAAAAAATAGATGGGAATAAAAAATACGCTATTACGGAAGGCAATCCCAAATCGGCGACATCGATGACCCATACCATGCCTTTTAGAAAGGATATTCGGGAATGCACGTACTCGTCCCAATTCAAAGCAGGCGAACAGTATGCTTAGGCTTAGGCTTCAGACTCCTGCCATATCAATTCTGGATTGATTAGAATCGGGACAGACCTTAAGGTTGAAGTCATTTCTTCAAACCTTTGCAGAACATTTATCCGGCTCAGGGCTCGGCACGAGCTGGCATCAGGGAAATTTCAAAACGAATTCCCCTTCAATCTTAAACATTTCGTACGAAGTCCTCTTCGACCCTAAACTCTAAGCGTAAAAAACCCTAAAAACCGAAACGTTGATAAAAAGCGTCGCATTTTGTGCCTTTTCGGCCACAAAAATGATATCCTCTTTGCTTTTTGTCCCAAAAACGACATCCAGCTCGACCCGGTGTCAGCTGTGCCATGTCCTGGTTTGGTGACAAGTACAGTAGTCGGCCGTAGAGGAGCACCAGCACTCCCGAAAACTTTATAAACCGATTCGCATTGCATTCGTCCCTTTATTCTGTGCTACAGTCTTTGAGGTTGTTCATGTAACATACGTCAGCGGCATTCGATCCAGAGGGAATTGGCCCATATAGGCCCTAGCGTTTTTTGTCTTTATGTCAGACATAGCGTTTGATTCCTGCTAACCTGTTGTAACCGTTTCGTTTCTATAAACTTGTGAGTCGTAAACACTTAGAAACCATTTTTTATCGCAAGGTGCGTCAGCGATGCGGAGACTTATTTGAAGACATATCAAAATTTAGGAAAGATAGAAAGCGTACATTGTTTCAAGACTTGAATGTTTGCGCATATGGCAACCATGCCGATGGCACCACCACTGAAGCATGAAACAAAAGTTGAAATTATATTCGAGGAGAATGCAAGGACCGTTAATTGAGCATTGTTTTGAAATGGGTTTTGCTATTCGATGTTTGTGGGTTGATTACCCAAGAAGACATACGTTTCTTAGGGGAGCATCATTTGCATTTGTTTACCAAAAAAGAGCAAACTATTATTTGAAACACTACATCATTCAGGATTTTTGGCTTGTGCAACAACTACGGATATGTAGTCATGCTAAGTGCAGCTGTAGATATCTTAAGCGTACAACAAGGAGACAACGAAAGCGAACCAACTAACAATTGTGAGGTACATTCTAATCTTTCCTGTACAACATATTGACTGAAAAACTTGTTGAAGGAGCACATAACAGAACGTCATTGCACTACTATATCTACCGGTGCTGTATTGGTGGCTGACTGCCTTCCAGCCTTTTTTGTTGGTCTCATATTTCCTTTCTTTATGCATAGAATACCTTTCGTGTAGGTTCAGTATAAATGTTTCGATTTTTATATAAGTTAAATCAGTTTAGTTTCCGTCATGTATTGGTTTGTATTCTGCAAACAGCTAGTTACCTTATGGTCGCTTTTTCCACGAATGTGCCTATGTCCCTGGTTGGTGTATGCTTTGCTTCCATTGGATGTGGTCTTGGAGAAATCAGTTGCTTGGCGCTGACATCGCACTATCCAACGTACATGATCACAATCAACGGTTATGCTCGTCAACCTCTAAAAAATTTATTTTAGGTTAGCGCTTGCAGCGTGGTCTTCTGGCACAGGTGCTGCAGGCTTATTTGGATCTTTTGTTTATGCCTTTCTGACAGACAAATCAATGGGTAAACTAAAGCCTAAAGTTGCTTTGCTTATTCAGCTATTTATTCCTATCTTGTTCGTACTGGCGTAAGTTGATGAAAGAAAGCGGTATTCTTTGCTGTTCCTATGGGTGTTTATAGATACTTTTGTATTCTCGTAGTACCCAAGACCGTTCACCGACCAGGTTGCAACCCTAAAACATGGATTGTTCCATCAAAAGCCAGTGTCAGTATTAAATAATTGATTAAAACATTGCCAGTAATCTAGGTTTTTCTTAAATAATGTGTTTTGAAGGATGCTCGACTACAAGAAACTGAGACAAAATCCTTTAAAGAGAATGAAGACGGAGTAGAAGTTGCACAGGCGAAAGGAGATGTCACATTCAAGAAAATGACGTTTATAGAAAAACTGCGACAGATTGTCGTTCGTTTTGCTCTATATACCACAAGATTTTCCTTTTTGACGCCATAATTTAGCCCCTACTTCACCTTATGGTACCATTGTCACTTGTCTACGTCGCAGAATATCTCATAAATCAAGGAGTGGTAAGAATGATAGAGCTAGTTGCAAGTTCGCAGCAGCAGGATAATTTCTGGAATTAAAGCTACTTACCATTTTACAGAATCAGCTTATAATCTTCAACTGTTATGAGGGGTTCAACTTGACCTTAGGTGCTCAATATCGGTGGTATCAGGTAAGCTCTGACTTTTTAAAGCTTTTTGTTAAAATAGCTTCAAAAGATCTACATAATGGGCCTAGCTAGGCTACTTTGTGATTATCAGTGAGCCAGTGGCGTACCGAGGGGTGCGCGCGCCCCCCCCCCCTCGAGAACGAGTCGCGAAATTTTTGAAAGTTACTTACATGAGTTATAAAAATGTGCAAATGACTTGTTTATTTTTGTAAACAATTAAAATAATTTTTAAAATTTTTTAAAAATTCAAATTAGCCTTATAAAAAAAATTTTTCGGGGGCGTGGCTTACGCCACGCCCCCTTTTTCCAGATTTTAGGGATTGAGGGCCCGCAAAATTGTTGGGAAGCCCCCCTAAAAATTTTTCGGAGTGCGTGGCTAACGCCACGCACCTTCATTTGAAAAATTTTTTGCCGCGCCCCTCTCCCCCCCCCCCCGAGCCGAAATCCTGGGTACGCCACTGCAGTGAGCCCATTGTATTGATTCAGATATCTTTGCAATATATCGTCAAACAAGTATGCGACAATTAGCTTTACCAACCTAGCACAGCAGTAACATTTGGAATTAGTCTTAAACAGAAGCGTCAAACAAAGATGTTTGTAAGGAAGATTACGCTAGCGCACAGTAAACTAGAACAGTTTATGTATGATGAAAAATGAAAGAACTTTGGGAACTTCGCGTTTTCCTCTCTGAGGGTAGATTTAGCAAGGTCCACCTTAATTTGGAAGAAAATTGGGCGCACTCTTCATTTACATAAGTATTTATGTATTGTGTTCTTCTTATTGCCCACCGCGCCACCAGTTCGGAGCCATCCAGTTGTATGTGGGTCGCAAACGACTCAGTTTTCCATTTTCCAGTGATGACAACTTTGCAAAGAAAGCTTGCCATACCTTTTATCCACAGAATTAATTCTTCATAGCCTGTTTTGTGTACCAAATTTGATCTCGTGTTACATGTAAGTTGTAAGTAATACTTATATACCGCTTTGAGTAACAGAATTCGGTTTTGAAACTGCGTCAAGGTCATGTTCGAGCAGGTTAATCATATCTCTTGTCTTCTACGGGTCTGAAGATGGATTAGGGGTAAGATCTGCAAATCAGCCCCCCCCCCACTTCCCCACTCTTGCTCACCTGGAACGATATCCAGCTTGACATTTGCTTTTCTCTCGTATGATTTTTCATCTGTTTTACACTATGTTCTTATCTCCCACTATTCATGTACACACAACTTTGGAGCCATTTCGTGACCTCTACCTAGAGCTCAGCGCAGCTGGAACCGGTACTAAATCGTTTTTGAAGCAAAGCAAAATTGCTTTTTGAGGGTCCGCCTGCGGCGAAGAATATAAGCTTGCGTCTCGCGTGGCAACGGCATGCAGGCAACATGCTCTACCCAAACAAACAAAAGCTTTGTTTGCAACCAATAAGCAATGGTATGACACCAAATTTAGTGTGTACATGCGCGTGAAAACTCCAACAGTGGCTCTGTTGTAGAGCCGTCCCTTATATTAGAACTTGCTCGCTCACTATAGGCTAGGTCGATATGGTCTCTGTGGTTGCGGCGTACCCGCCGCGCTTTGATATATTTGTGTGCGTTGTTCTCTAGTTATTCCTAGTGAACCCTCGGCATGTACGCCGATAGGCAGAGGGGGAACTCTTGTGTTTTTCTAATAAATTGTCAACGGCTCAACGCGTTCCACATCAACTGGCGATCAGGATCAAGGACAAGAAGAACTCCACCACCAACCGAGGACGACAAGAAGCTCCACCGCCGACCAAGGAAAAGAAGAAGCCTCCAGTCAACTTCAAGGACAACTTCTCCAGATAAGTTCTCTTTGAGGAATCAATCGACGAGAGCACGAATTCTCGTCGTTGCAGCGGAGCCATGCCGAAGGTTGCAGAAGAGCGGCATGCGGCGGATATGGAGAAGGTCCTCAACGTCATGATGGAGCAGATGCGGCTTCAACAAGAAGAAGTTCGGATCCAGATGCAAGCCCAACAGGAACAAATGAGGATGCTGATCGCTACTCTGGCCAACAACCAGAGTGTAGCCGTACAAGATGCCAGCAAGGATCAATACGATCAGCTGAGCAAGGATGTGCAAAGGTTCGTCTCCGATGAAGACACAGGTAATACCTTTGCCTACTGGTACAGCAGGTACGGACCGGTCATAAGCGAATCCTTGTTGCCAGACAACAAGAAGCGTGACCTGGTCCTCATGAAGCTGGACGAAGAAGCATACCGGAAGTATGCAGATGAGGTCCTGCCTGCAAAGCCACACGACTTGGACTTTAGCACAACTATCGAAAAACTTCAGAAGCTGTTTGCATCCAAGAAGACGCTTATAAGAAGAAGATTCGAGTGCCTCCGCGTCACCTGCCCACCGCTTACGCCGACGAGTGTACCCTTCCGAGAATATGCCAACACAATCAAGCGGATGGATGAGGACGCTCGACTCAAGGAGCTCGACTACACTGCTATGAAGACGCTACAATTCGTAGCCGGCCTTCAGGATCCGTCATTGCGAGACGTCCGCCTGAGGATGATTCGCAGGCTGGATGCACATACGGACGAAACACCGCTGACAATCGAGGACTTGGTCAGCGAATGCGAGAATTACACCGCGTCGAAAATGGACAACACGGATATGGAAGGAACCCGCGATGTTCATGCGGTGTGGAAGAAAAAGGTAGATTGTTTCAGATGTGGAGGTCCGCATTTTAGCAGGAACTGTCCACAACTACCTAGAACGGTCCGAAGGAAGCGACGGAAGACAGGGACTCAGCCTTATGGTCGAAGAAGACAATGCAAGAACGTGGTCGCCTTCGACGCCGAGAACGCCCGCACCTACCTTGACGTTGTTGTCAAAGGATGTTCCCTCAAGCTCCAGTTGGACACGGGTGCGGATATAACGCTGATATCTCGTAAAGCCTGGAAGAGAATAGGATCTCCAGCTTTAGAACCGTGCGTGATGCCTGTCAAAACTGCAGATGGGACACCAAGGCAGATCGATGGTGAATTTTCAACCGATTTCAAGGTCAAAGATCGAGTTACAGGACGGATGGTCCATGGATAAGGAACATGCTATGTCACCGAAGGCTCAAACCTCCTGGGATTGGAGTGGTGTATACAATTGCCAGCCTACAAGAAATTGAAGACCAAGTATAACTGCAGGAAGGTGACTAGCGAAGAAGCAATTCGAGCCGAAGTTGTCGCCGACTTGAAGAACAGGTACCCGGATGTCTTCAAGAGCGAACTAGGGAAATGTAAGAAGAGCAAGGCCAGGTTAGTCTTGAAGAAGGATGCTGTCCCAGTCTTCAAGAAGAAGAGACCAGTTCCATACGCCACAGCACCGGAGCTGGAGGCAGAAATTGATCGGTTGGTAGCCGAAGGAGTCATTTCTGCTGTAGAGCACTCAGAGTGGGCCGCTCCAATAGTCGCCGTCAAGAAGAAAAATGGCAGGATTCGTTTATGCGCCGACTTCTCGACAGGACTCAACGATGCATTGCAGCTGCATCAGCACCCATTGCCCACAGCGGAGGATGTGTTCACCAAACTCAATGGAGGTCAGCTCTTCACGCAGCTCGATTTGGCCGAGGCATATCTACAAGTGGAAGTTGAGGAAGCATCGAAGAAGATGCTAACTATCAATACGCACAAGGGATTGTATCGATACAATCGTCTTCCCTTTGGAGTGAAATCGGCTCCAGGTATATTCCAACAGATCATGGATTCCATGATAAGCGGTCTTGATGGAGTTGCCGCTTATCTTAATGATATCATCATCACGGGAAGGAGCTTTGAAGAGCACCGCCAAAACCTGGAAGCCTTGTTCAAACGAATCAAGGACTATGGATTCCACGTCAGGTTGGAAAAATGCAACTTTCTGATGTCAGAGATTTGTTACTTAGGTTGCATCATCGACAAAAACGGCCGCCGGCCGGACCCAAAGAAGATCGAGGTCATTCAACAGATGCCAGCTTTGAAAAACATAGCAGATGTTCGATCCTTCCTCGGGATGATCAACTACTATGGATTGTTCGTAGCAGAGATGCGCCAACTTCGTGCACCCCTGGACGCATTGCTCAAAAAGGAGGCGAAGTTTGAATGGACAGAAGAGTGTCAAAATGCATTTAAGCGTGCCAAGGAGGTTTTAACCTCGGATCTACTTTTCACACATTTCGATCCGAAATTGCAGATAGTGGTAGCTGCCGACGCATCGGACTACGGAATAGGAGCTGTGATTCTGCACAAGATGCCGGATGGTACAGAGAAGGCTATTTGCCATGCAAGCCGAAGCCTCACAGCTGCAGAACGGAACTACGGACAAATTGAAAAGGAAGGATTAGCCCTGGTGTTCGCGGTTCGTAAGTTCCATCGCTATATATACGGACGACGGTTCAGACTGCTTACCGATCACAAGCCGCTGCTACACATTTTTGGACCCAAGAAGATGGTGCCTGTGTACACAGCGAACAGATTGCAACGATGGAAGCTCATTCTACTTGCATACGACTTCGACTTGGAGTACCGCAAGACGACCGAATTCGGACAAGCCGATGCACTGTCTCGACTGATTCCTCCCCGGCCATTCCAGACCGAAGACGTCGTCATAGCGAAAATAGAAGAAGATGTGCGAGCCGTTCAAGCTGCTGCTGTACGAGCGTTACCAGTAACCCGAAGAAGGATAGAAGAAGAATCCCGCAAGGACGAAACCATTGCGCAAGTCATACAAATGCTGCAATCGGGAGCATGGCCGTCCAAGCCGAAAGAAGAAGTCCGAAACTGGAAAGCACTGAGGGAGAATTTATCAGAACGAACGCCTTGTACAACTGCTCCAGAACAACGTTCGCCTGCCGAGCTGCTCCTGGGACGTCAGATAAGGACACCACTGTCGCTGCTGAATGAAGACTCCAAAGAAGAAGGAATGGCCAATGAAAACATGGAGAAGCAGTTCAACCGCCACCATGGAGCACGAAAGAGAGCGTACAAGCCACAAGAAGCCGTGT